TTTGAAGCTCCTGTGCTCCATACTTGGAACTCAAACCTGCAGGTATACATACTGATGTGTAGGAAGGGGTAACAATTTCTTCCCTCCCTTTCTATGGCTAACTTCATACAACAGCACAAAGACAGGCTTCTCCCAGTTTACAATCAACGACATTCACTCCAGGCAGTCCATCAGGTTAGACAGATGCTGGTTTCACACTCCCTGGCCAGTGTTTCAGAACACAGCAGCACCAACTCCTTATTCACAGACTACTCTTGAACAAGCTGTTCCCCTGGCTCTTCAGCCCCACTCAGCTTCACAAGCCCAGGTCTTAGTGACTTTTTACTTTGCAACCTGAACCAAAACTGCTATATCTAGCGTGAGTCTCCTCCATCAAAGGCACTGAGCCCATCTCATGCTTGCTGCATCTTTCTCATGCTATTATGCATACATTGTGGAGCTCTGGTTTGTTTGGGAATTACCTAACCAGCAAGCTGGGTCCTACCAATCATTCCAACATTTTTTAACCTTGTGTCACTGTACACATTTTAGAGAAATTTTGAAATCATAGCTTTAACCTTTTGTGTCAGAAAAAAAAAAAGAACAAATGTTCATTCAGCAACCTTAATTGTGCCTTGCAAGTGACTAAGGATAGCTGCCCTTGGTAATCTCAGAGAAAACCTATATATACATAAATATATATATATATATATATATATAAGAAAACACACAGACAACAAAATAAAATAACAAGGAAAAAAAAAAAAAAGTGAAGACCAATCAAATGCAGCTCATCATTTATCCTGCAGTAGCTCTGGTATGATGAGAAGATAAGTAAGTAGGAAAACATAGCATAAATGTTATCTACGCCTATACCATATGTATCTACCCATTTGTCTGGAACAGTCCAAAGAAGAGTCTACAGAGGTCAGTGTAAAACCTGAACTCAGTGCTTGATCAGTGTATTTTGGACAGTCAGGCTACATGCATCACACTAAATCATACTAAATCAAAGAATATCTGACTTGGAAGGGATACACAAGGATTATCGAGTCCAACTCCTGGGTCCCCAAAGCACCACCCAAAATAAACAAACAAAATTAATCTGTAGCATGTTGCAAAATGTGCCTTTGAATCCCGCCAGTGCCTAACTTGTAGAGAGGGTGACTGCTTTACTTGGTAAAAGTCATGAGCTCGTCTTTCAGTTGCTTCAAAGAAAGCTGTGAAAACTGTTGACAACTAAAAACAACAGGACAGGTTTTCCTGGCTGTCTAGTCTCTGGTCATGCCTTACCACAGAGATCACCTTTGCAACCGAGGAATTAACAGTATGTAGTACTGACATTGCAGTGAATGCAATTTTAGAGAGGATTAGATTTTGGTGATGGTGTTTTTGTTGTTTTAAGGAGTACATTGTAGAAACAATACTTCTGTTTAGCATTTTCTAAATACTATATGCTTCTTAAAAGGCAGAAATACTGTGTAGATGGTCGATACCTAAGTCTTCAAATAGGAGCTACGTACCAGCAGAGCTTTGTGGATTCTTGCTGCCAGCCTCCAGGGCAACAACAGATTGAGTAAAATGATTGTACCACATATGTTTGCCTGAACAATAGAATAACATTGCTCAAATCAGGAATGCTATGAACTGTTTCTGTCTGTCAGATCTATCAGAAGAATATTTCTTAGCCTTCAGGACTTCCACATATGCAGTGGGAAGCAATATCATTAATAGACTCATATGAAAACACCCAAGACAACAGACTAATCTTGCTTGACCATATCTTGTCCAAGGCCATTCACGGTAGCAGAGATGACTAAGCTACAAAGACATATGAGGACTTGGGAAAAAAATAAAGCCAAAATCCAAAATAAGAGCTTGCACCAAGTTTTACAGAAAAATGAAATTACCGTGAAAGATGTCCATGTTTACAAGCAAACTGAAGTACAGTAAAAGAAGCATGTTCTACACTGAATCCATTAGGGATGTAGCAAAGGGTTTACTCTGCCTTTAAGAGTTATTCATCTTAACTTGGACACAAAGTGACCCAGAGGAAAAGTGGGAGGCAGGAAAAGCATGTGTTTTGCAGGATGAGAGGATAATAGAGAGAGCAGTTTGCAGCACCCACTTCCTGGCCTCCCCATCCCACTGATACTTTCTCCCACCTAGCATATTTTCCAGAACTTTGATGTATATTCTCCAGCTTGAGAAAATATTGTCCTTAATTTTAAGCAAATTATCTTTGGGAAAGTGGCTCCAAAATCAATGGAAAACCATCATGGACACTAGGTAGTGGACTTACATGGCCTGGTGAGAATTACTTATCTTCTTCGGACTTGTACTGCTCTGAAATAAGTGGAGTTCCTAATTTGGTGGTACATTTACTCAAGAAGAAAGCAAAGTAACTACCCTATCTGAACAGAGAATTTCTGACAGTAAGAGGTAGCACATTCACTTACAAGTAGCATGACTCTCTAGCATAGAAATATGTCTTGAAGCTCTGTTTGCATTTAAAGATCTTTTAGAATAGGCTTTTGTCACCCCAGCAGACCAGCAAAGAACATCCAGGATAGCAGCCTTACAGTTTTGGGGAAGTCTAGCAAGCTGGGGTACAATATAATTAAAATTAAAAATAGCAAATAATAAAAGTCTGTTCAGTAATTCCCTGCTCTTCCCTGTGCATGTTACACTAGACTGTCCCTGGTGGTCAGCATCTTCTTTCCCATGAAAGCACCTCATTCCTCCTTTTCTCTGTCATGGCAGAACACTGCTCCTATTTGCACAGAGTGCTGTATACACAGATATTATGTTAAGACAACTTGTACCCTTGTGAGATCTTCTGCATTTTATATAACTTAAGCATTGCCCTTGCCACTCTAGAACAGGATGGACTTTTATTCCTATCTTGTATCATTTGAAGAGAAAGCATTAAGCATGTAATTGTTACCCCTAGGAAGAATAGTTTAAGAAGAACTTGTCCAAAACATAGCAAAGCCTGAAGAAAACTAAATCCATAAATATTCATTCAGATACTAATAGTATATGTCTTTATACATATATATAATGTATGTGTGTAAATATATAAATATTTTTCTCCTTTATTCCCCCTCATATATATGCCCCTATATATGTATATATAAAGGGGGAAAAATCTGCCAAGAACACAGAAACAAGTCAAACTCCAGAGATAAAAATACCATAGTTATGCTTGGCTTGATAACCCAATGGCTCCCTCTGCAGGGTGAAACATTATTCAGATAAAAACGGACTTGTACGTAATCAATGCACTTCTCAAGCTACATGGACACGTTAAAGTAATTGCCAGTGCTGTCTCACTTTACACCATCCTCTTAAAATTTCTGCATATGTCAGTTTAGTCCCCTTCCCCTTTAGTCCCCTTCCACAGTGCCAAGTTGATGCTATCTTTGCATTCCTCCTTGTAATAAGGTGGAGATACCAAGTATGTTGTAATTCCCTCTTTACTCACCAGACCCTACATATTTGAGGCTTTCTGTTAGAAAAGAATGCAGACAGTGAAATAATGTTGCAACTGGCTGACAAATAGAAAAATAGGAACATAGAAGGTCCTTCAATCAGAAGAAAAAAAAAAAAAAAAAAAAGCAATGCCTTGTTAGTTTAAATTCAAAGAATAAATGAGTATATAAAGAAAGGAAGAAGAAAGGAAGACAGAGTTACCAACTTCTCCTTTATTTGCCAATTTAGAACATATTTTCTTTTGTCATTCTTTGTCTTTCCGAGAAAGACTTGATTATTTATATGCCTCTTTGTAACGTCTCAAGGACCAGTTATTAGGAGATGATGTTTGAAAGGTAAGGCCTGGGACACACTGTTCTTGGGAAACATTCTGTCCGCTTCAAGCAGCAACGTGTCTATTTCTAATCACTGATTTCTCATTTCACCTTGGAAATTGGCAGCGTATGTTCTCCCAAATTCCTTTTAAAAGCTGAGTGGCTTTTACAACAGTAGTCTGAGCTGGACATATAAAATGTAGTTAGAGAAAGCTCAAAGTAAATATGATTATTATTCTATCACACATTATTCCAACAATAGAAACCAATAAGCTGTTTCAATACAGTTAGTGAAGCAAATGTTCCCCACTGTCAGTCCATCTCATAGCAATTCCCCGGAAACCAGACATGCCATTAACTGTAATAGAAGTAGCTTCAGGGCAGGAGGAAGACAGCTATATCTAAGCTTTTATTTAAAATTTTAACTACATCTAATATTCATGAGGTAGACTATTTTTTGTACAGCAATAAATAGCTACATAAATTGAACTATTTATTTAGTGACCATCTTTATATGCTTTATACACTCAAACATCCTAAATGTGTACTAGGCATATGGCTGCCATCTTATCCTCACATTAGAAGAAACATCAGACGGTGCTCCAATGTGTATAAAAAGAATGCCTTCCTACACGCTACACCTTCTTTGCCTTCTCCTGTCCTACTATCCTCTCATTTAAAAACTTTTCATGTGACTGAAACCCATACGTATTTCCATGATTTATACAGCTTCGTTGTTTTCTGAGGGGTTCAAAAATCATTTATTTTACAACTCCCTACAAATGAGTGATCATAATTAATAGAAGATGGCATGTGAAATGGAGGTTTAGACTTGTGTTATGTGTCATATATGTAGATGCTGTACTATCTATCCAAAAGATCACAGAAGCTTAGTAATGACAGAAGGTTCAGAAGTGGACAAAAACTTATTCTATATTTTACCTCAAGGAAGAAAATTAGAACTCACATTCAACAGCTCATGAAACATATTTAAGCTTTCCTCAGACCCAACTCATAGACAAACGTTACTAAAACTGTGATAAAATAAATTTTACATTCCAGGCAATGTATTTATTGTATATTTAGCACAAATAAAATAAAATAAAATAAAATAAAATAAAATAAAATAAAATAAAATAAAATAAAATAAAATAAAATAAAATAAAAATAGAAAAAAAACTGACACAATTCAAGATATCAGTTGTGGCCTTGCCCATGTGCTCACTACACCACTCACACCAGCACAGCAAACCAAATCAGAGGCACACTGTATTGAGTTTCAACTGGTACTAGGTAATTAGATAAATCTTGAAGACAGCATGACATGTAAAGACAAAGAGTATTTTCTCATTTTTTATCTAAGATCCATTCATAACAGAGACAAAATTCCAAGTCTGCTCCATATTCTGGCCTCAGTCTCAATCACCTCTCTATAAAGAAAGCACGGTAAGCCTAACATGGCTAACAGCTCTTCCTCAGAGCAGACGTCAAGCTACTTTACAAAGTACAAGATGGAATTCTACTTTCAGCTGGAGAAAGTTTCATCAAGGCAAAAAGTGGATTTAGACATACTGCTCCAGCAACGTAATGTGTAATGAAAATAGGCAGCCAGGCTCTTTGTTCTATTAGGAAGTGCTGATTTAACCACAAGAGGGAGAACAAACACTGTCGAAAACGCAATGAACCAACTGTAAAAGAGCCAGGTCCAGAAGTGTTTGATGCTGAGCCTACAGCTGATAACCTGCATTCTAATTTGTAGTGAAAATCAATTTAATTTCCTCTTCGGCTTTAATTCCTTGCAAGTAAATCTTCAATACTAATCTGTTAAAGAGGCAGAGAGAGAGAAAGGCATTCATAATGTTCAGCATTAGGTGGATAAATTATACGCAGAGCCAGGTCAGAACAGCAGCAAAGAGGCCGTGGGTGTGAGGCAGCTGGGACTAAAAGGCTGCACAGATTGCCTGTGCCAAGAAGAAAGGAAGATCAGGTGCTGCAGTTCAAAGAGCTGAGTCTCCCTTCTGCTTTTGATCCTGCCATTGCTGTCATGGAAGGAGGGACTGGGGCGCATGAAAGTACCAGTCCAACTCAGAAGCTATCACCAACCTTAGTAGCAGCAAGAACATTCATCCACACCCTCTGGGACTGTTCCAGCTTCACCCCCTGTTCCCCATTTCCTTTACAAGAGTCAAGAAATAATAACTGTGGTAAAACAGACATTACTTCTCAGTATAGTTCACATTACTGCTGTGTAATACCAATAACATAAATTGTTTTGCCCAAGCCCTCCCTCTCCCTTGTTTTCTGGTTTGAAGCCGCTACATAGATTTTTGCTGCTCAGAAACACATCTGCATCCTTTGGTGTTCTTCCATGCACATCTTTTAGGCCTCCACATTTTTTGCTTGTCTATGCTTTTGGTATCAAACCTTTTCCATTAAGATGTTTTGCTTTTCTAGTATAAACACTTTTGTTTTCAAAATTTTCTGCCCAAAAAAAAGTCATGTAATAAGTTCTATAGTATTTATTGCCTCATCCATTGCCACTTTTATTCACTGAGGTCTGAAAAGACAAAGACTTGCTGATTGTTTTCCAGGCTTCCAGCCTGTAGTATCTCCTCAAAATAACTTCACAGATCTTTGATTCTTGATTTTCCAAATTATTTTCATCTAATACCTAGATTTACTGTCTTTAGATTTTATAGAAGAGGCTTTCCAAAGCACATCAGCAGCAATGGATACTAATGTTGATGAAATTAGTGGATGTTTGTATCACAGAAGACAGAGGCATCAGCACTTTCCAGTGCTGGCTGGGCCCCCGCAGCTGCAAAGCCAGTTTTACGTTCCTATCCATTCTCTGCCCAATCTTCCCAAACTGGATTTCCCAATTCTTTGTCTCCAAAAACATCACACTTTTTTTGTTACATCTTGCCTTGGTACTCTCCAGAAATGCAGGTTGCAGCACCCATTGAGCTTCTGCAGGTGTCTTTTACTCCTTGAAAGAGATACTTAAATACCTAGCAGATACTTTCATACTGAGCTGTTTATATATGGGTCAAATATCAATTTGTGAAATCTTTTGCCACCAGCACTAGATTTTTTTTTTTTATCCTTTATGTCTGAATATTATATAGTTGATTTTTGTTCTTGAGCTGAAGGCTGTTGATATAAGCTAAGGATAAATATATCGTGCTAAACCATCCAGAAAAAAAACAGCCTTTAACAATACTATACTTGAATATCCATTTCATTCAGCTATTGCTGCAGTACTTTAGCAGAAAATGGCATCCTCTGCTACTGGTGTTATGCAAAGAATGGGAGTACAAAAGATAATGCTTGTGAATACTGATTTCCTGACTGACTTAATCACTGTGATAAAAGATAATGTCTCAGTACTATAAAACCCAACTTTTCTGCATGAAGTCAGTTACATTCAGCATAAATCTAGCTCATTCTGGGAGCTAAAAAAGGATGGTTATAAGGCTGCAGAGCAGATCTGCATTATGCATCCTATAGTTTCAATGAAACTTTGTTAAAAGAAATGAATTGACTCTGAGGCTATCATGGTACTCACCACACCTGCTGCTTCCCTTTGTATGATGGGATCATTAAAATTCTTAAACTAGTTTATTTAAAACTTCTGTTAATTGTGTGCCCTTCTCATCTCTTCTCATTCTTTTGCCCTTCATGATTTCTCCTTTATTTTCCTCTTTCTTTCCTCTTTTTTACTCTTTCTGAATTTGTTACTTTACGAACAGTGAATGGTCCAAGTGTGAATCCTAAGCATCTTCCTCTTCCATTCCCTGTAATGGGAGAGAAAGGACCCACATAAGTCTCTGCATCTCCATTGGAATAAACTAGCCAGTTATTGTTCATCCTCAGAACAGAAGACAAAGAGACTTAAAATTAAAAAACAATAACAGATCTGTAAATAACCTGGTGATACTCTCATAACTGTACATTACAATACTTAAGTTCTATAGCAGGGTGTGAGTTTTGCATCAGTGTTGCAGTTAAAAGATGAGCAAATGAGACTGCAGCATGTTAATTAACTACACGTAACCACATTTACACATCTAGTGGTGCTTTACAGAGCTGCGACTGTCACTCTAAATGGTTTACAAATTGATTCATTTTAGGCCACCCATTTACATGAAATAGCAAAAAATAACAAATTTACAATCGTTTTTATTGTTTAGTTTTCCTGTGTTGTTATCTAATTGTAATTGTTCTGTGTATTGTAGCAGTAAATGTGTCTTACATAAATTGTTTTAAAAATACATATACTGTTATTCTTAATTACTTAAATTTTACCTTCAGAAATCTGAACAATAGACAGTTTCTCTTTACACTAAATTCACCCTGTGGTTTTTCTACCAGAGGGGGAAAAAAAAATATTCAATTGCAATCTTGAAATATTATTGTTTTCTCAGTTCCTAATGATACCCTTTCAAGCCATCTCCAAGAGGTAGTGATGTCAAACCAACTCCCTCTCAATAGAAAAATAATATTTCACAGAGAACACATTAATATAAATAAAATAAATTTAATTACTTATTGAAGGCTCAACATACAGAAAACACTAAAATATCAAACATTTTATTAAAAGGATGGAATCATTTTATGGAACTCATGTACATATTTCTCTTTTGTAAATATAAAAGTGCATAGATGTAGTGATCCTTGGCTGAAAATGAAATTTTTAACATTGAAACAAACATGCTTTTGTAAGGGCAGACCTTTGACATAATAAGACAAATTATTTATGCATTTATAGCAAAACAAAAATAACAAAAACAAATACTAGTATATATCATCTGTTTTCTCTTGGATTATGATTTAATCTAGAAAACAGAGTGGACTCTAGATGTACTTTTTAGCCAGATTACCAGTTCTGACACTCTAGAAGGGTACATGAATAAGGAATTTGTCTCTTCAAAGGCACTGGCACAAACACCTCTATCACTTATTTCAAGTTGAGGTCATTGCTCCCTACTCCCAGAAAATAGCTGACAGCTGCATCTGGTGTCTGATTTTGTTTTATTTAAAGTTTTGTTCTTTACCATGAGATCAATATCTGATAGTACTGGCAGTCATTCTGCATGTTGCCCATATACCTCTCAAAGATTTACCCCCAGAGGAATCAAGTCATTTCTTAACATTTTTTTCCACACAGCTTTTACCAAGTGTTTACCAATATAAGGGATGTGGTAGAGAATTAACCCCCGTACTAGAAAATTATTTCTCTACCTTCCTTATCCAACGTGACAGGCAGCCATGTCCAGAACAGAATCCTGTCATCATTTGGTACCAGCAACATTTACAACGGTGAGAAAAAATCTCTGTATCTGTTGTGTTTGCTGATCTCTAAGTCTGGCAGTCATTACTCCCACTGCAACTTAGGCAGAGTTTCCTCTGCTGTATCTAACTGTTACTTTTGCCAAAGTGCCAGAGCAGGTTAAGCATTAACATAGGCTGAGGCTCCTGCTCCATGTACAGAATAACTTGTATGCAGGATAAAGATCAGTAAAGTACATACTTTAACAAAACACAAACATTCTCCTTTATCAGTGCCTGGTCCTTTGATCTGTATGATTTTTCTCACCACACAGCTCAGTAGTCCCACCAGACAGCATGGAGAGAATGGCTTGCTGAGTACACATAGCCTTCTGGTGGCTGTTGGTTTAACTACAGCCCCAGTCATTGTGGATTTCACTTTTTTTTTTCCTTCCTTGAAAACTACCAAGTCAGACAAACTAAACCCCAGCCAAACTCAAAAATTACTCTTTCCTAAGAGCTCTGTGTAGTGGGAGTGCTGGCAATTCAGGGAATAATAGGATAACTGAGGCTGCAGGAGTCTCAGGAGTCTCTAATCTAACCTCTTCCATTGCTCGTCTGTCTACAGATTTGAAAAAAACTTTTCCTTATATCCTGTTTGAATCTCTTATTTCAGTTGACGCCTATCTGTCATCCTTTCAGCATGCATCACCCTGAACGTCATAGTTCCATCTTCTAGAAAACCTCTTCACTGCTATTGGAAGGTCGCTATTAGGGTCCCCTGAAGATTTCTTTTCACCAGGCTGATCAAATGCAGATCCTCCAGTCTCTCTTACAGGCCAAGTGTTCTGAACCCTGACAACCTTGATTTACCCCACTGAGTTTACTCTAGTTTATAGGTGCCTTTCTTCTACTAGAGGTTCCAAAACTGGATGCAGTATCTAGACATGGTCTAGTGAGTGATGAGTCAAGACACATAATCATTTCAGCCCGCCTACCAGCCGTTTTCCACAGAGCTGCATCCCAGGCAGCCAGGGCCTGGCCTGTTGTGCTGTGTGGTTCTTCCTCCCCAAGTGCAGGACTTTGCATTTAATCTTGTTGAATTCTCTAACACTTCTGTCAGACCATTCCTCCAGCCTGACCAAGTTCTTCAGAATGGCAGTCCTGTCCTTGAGCCTACAGACTGCTCCCGCCCAGCTTGAAGTTATCTTCAAAATCAACAAAAGCACACTTGTCACCTCCTCCAGGTCACTGATAAAGATAGATGGATCCCAAGACAGACCCCTGCAGAACTCTGCTTGTTACTGACTGCTAAGTAGAGTAAAACCTACTAAACATTATCATAATCTTTAAGAAAATTCAGAGTAAAAACATCCATCAACAAGCTTGGCACAGATGCAGAGACGTCTGTATTGTGACCAAAACCAGACTGCCTGCAGAGCTTCAGATGAAGAATTACCTCAGTATTTCACAGCTTAATATGGCTTCCTTGGCAGCCCACTGGCACTATTATTGAAACCAGTCTCCAGCCCAAATAGTCCATCAGTTTCCAATGACTCTTCAGCTCATCCTTATAGTGGCTTTACTTGGATGACATTTACTTTTGTTCCATTTTCTTTACTGTTATCATCTATTTGTTGAGTGTCATCACTGGTGATAATAAAAATGATAGAGGAAGAGCTAAATGTGACTTTCTTCTTTGGCCTATCCCCTCCTTTTTGAGACATTACTATTGGTCGTATTGGTTTGTCATTCTCTTCTCCTGGGGTCTCTTTCGCAGTCCTCTGGAATCTCATCAAGCGAAAGCACAAGAGTTGCAAAAGGCATTGTCGAAACTGTAAGAGAAAATAAACAGAATGAAATTACAATTTGCTAAGCGTTCACTATTCTATATGATCCAGTGAAGACAGCAATACAGTAAATAACTCAAAATAACCTATTTCTTGTTCTGAGTTGGTGCCAGTGCCATAACAAACAAACAGGCTTTTTAGTGGGCACTTTTTCCCATACACACTCCAAAGGATTCAATAGAATCACGTGGCCAGTAGAGGGCACCGAAATGCAATCTAATATTTTACCATCAGCAAGCTCTGCAGTCAACAAAGAACAAGAATAAGCCCCAGAACATGCCATAGGTATTCTCTCTGAGTATTCAAAAATATAGCTTGATCTAGCAGGGGAAGAATGTTCTCAGAAGCACTTCACAGGAGGATGTACAGGGAATGAACAAAGGGGGGGAGGGGGAGGTACAATGAAAGTGAAGTTTTCCATTTATACAACTCCAGAGACCGAAATTTTAACAAAAGCATTTAATAATACCAATGTAAAATAAAGTTTCAAAAGTTGGTAACACAAAACTATATCGTTCCCTTTGAATAGGTAAGGAATGGAAGCCTTTCAGCTAACTAGAAGCCACTTATGATACAGGCAGTCTATTCTACCTTGAGACTTAATAACACAAGGTTTTCAGTGAAAGCTCTTGTCAGTAAATAAGAGAACAATTCCAGTAATACCATTGTTCTAAATGCTCCAATTATGGCCTTCCCTTCACAAAACAGAGCATTCAAGTTCAAGGGTTAGAAGATGCATTAAGTAGTTCCATGTTTGTGCACATCTAAAGCTCAAATGTGACTCTTTGGGGAAATTCTCTGGTTTTACAAAAAGTGTATTAAAAAAGTTATTAAATAACTCATAATAAGACATGTCTGGAATACTTGGAAAGCACTTAAACACACACACACAGTAGGACATCTTTCTTAAAAGCCTGCTATTTGGCTGTTTTAAAAATTACTCTATATTATCCTGCATGGCCACTGACTTCATCTAGTTGTTATGCAAGAAGTTCTCTAGTACGTTAATATTGAACAAAGCTTTGGTATAGAAAATTAATCCTACTCTTACACAGGGGAGGCAGGTAGGTCCTGTTGGGAAGGGAGCCTAGGAAGATGGAGAAAGGTGATCTGGTGTTGTAAAACACAACAGAATGGTCATGTGGAAGCCCTGAAGTTTTCAGAGATAACGTGGTACCTCTGAGCAGCATGGATGTGAGAAGGCACAAGCATGTTAGCGTAGGTCAGATACATGAAGGATATAATAGGGAAGAATTGGTTTATTATTCCTATAAAAATACAGAAGGTAAGCAAAAATAAATCACTTTGGTCTTAATCTGGAATTAGAGGTGAGTGAAAAACATTTCACGATGCATCTCCAATATGTTTAGCTGAATCATTCTCTTCGTGCCTATGACTTTACTGGCATTGTGCCTGCTGTTGGTTTGATTTGCTTCCTGGTATCAGAACCTACAAAATCTTTTTCAGATTAAACTAATCAATCTGACATCCAGGTACAAAGTCATAGCCACCATATTAAAATGACCCAGTTGAAAATACTCTTTTGGAGCATGACTGTTGTCAGGGTCCTAAGCAAGGCTCCGAGGGTCTGCAGCCCCTTTCCTCCCTCTGCTCCTCCAGGGTTTAGCTCCCCATATCCAGGGCTGGCTCTGATACCATGCAGCTGTGTAACAATTGTGAGATATGTTCATCTGATTCATGTCAATATGGAACAATGCTAGGGCCGCATGGTATGATGAATGTGACCTTCTGTGCTACATACCCTTGTATAACCACAAGTCTAAGAAAACAGAGTGGTTAATGTATATAGTTCTTGTACCTTGCAAAGGGATGTTTTAGCAATTCCTGTCAATAGAGAGCTTGAAGGGAAATGTATTTGTAGGCTTTTCCTTGAAGTCTCTGAGATCTGGGGGGGGGGGAGGGGGTCAGAATAGCTGCTAACTATTATGACTATTTATTGCAACTATTGCATGGGACACTATGCCAGTCTCTGTTATCTGGCCAGTGGCCAGGAGATTAAGGAGATGGGGAAAGCTCAAGAACGACTAAAAGACAAAGCTTGCAGGGGATGTTGCACAAGTCTCGGACATACAGCCAAGTTGGACAAAGGAGAAGGACAAGAGGGAGGAAGACTATGAGCCTTCAGCATGAGAGACCCCCAGAGGGACCACCGGAGACTGATATGCACGCTCCAGTAGGAGGGTTTGGATTCCGGAAAATAATTATAATAACCTTGTTTTTTTTAGAAGTAGTAATGAATATGTATTAGCCTAGGAGCATAAAAATCAGCTGCTTGATGTAACTGGTGTGCGTCTCGGTGGAGCAGAGACTCCCGGCGCACCCAGCACTGTTTGCTTACCTCTATTCCTTTAATAAATTGTAAACTTTAATTATAGTCCTATTTTGAAGACTGAGCCATTTATTACACAATGAATCAGCCTGCCATGAAAATAGCAGTGTAGGAAGACCTACAAGATGCCACACTGGGGGCCTCCTGCTTCCACTCAGGAGCAGCACTGACACTCAGCTTTGCCCTTGGTCCTGGCCTAAGCTGCACTGCAGCTATGCATTTGCCAGGCCATACATCAGGCTGATTGGACCCATTGACTTGGCTGCCTTGTGTCTGGACTGCTGATTGGCCCTGGCTGTTCCCTGGTAATTGCACACGAGTGTAGGAAGTCACAGAAAATTCCACCTCTACAATAAGTTAAAGGTAATGAAAACCCAGGGAAGTCCTTCTGGCAATCATTTGTTTTGCTTCTTTTTAACCCTTTGTCTACTGATTCTACTATACTTAAATTCCAGATATCTTTAACTATATATCCTTGATTTCAGAGGTTTACAGTGTGAAGTTACATTTCTATTTAACATTCTGGGTTATAGTGAAGCTATTTTAACGTCTAAACAAATTCACCAGCTCTGCTCAGCTACACTCAGTAGTCATCTTTATAGTACTGATGATTTACAGAAAGAAGTAAATTACCTGGTTCCACATCCTTTACAAGCTACTGCTAACTCCAAACACTCTCACTCTTTCTCTGCTCTGTAGAGCAGCAAAATAAGCTAGTTTACACCATTAAATCAGCAGTCTGCTTTTCAAAATGAAGACTATAAATGTAGACGGAAAGTTGTTTTTCCTTATAGATAAATACACCTTCTTAACCATAAAAAAGTATCTCCAAAATGCACTTGACTGTCATCCATATGAGATTCTGGCTTTGAGTAAAATAAAGCTCTGAGAAATGTTATTGGTGTATTTATTTTTTTCACCAAAATTGCAAATTCATCAAGACAGAAATGATCTAAAACAGTCTGTCAGATTTTGTAAGATGTTTATTTAAAAACCAGATGGAAACATTTTAAGAAAAGAATGTTTCACTTTTGTATTTATAGGTTACCTTTTTAATACTGTACACTTAGAAATTTTTAAATTCCTAAAAAGTTATAATTCTTTTGTCACTATTTGTGATTAAACAGAATTTCAGTGTGCTCTTTCCACCCCCCTCCATCTTTCTTCCAGATACCAACTGAACAGATACTTACTTCTGCATTCAGTGTTCTATGCTTTCCATGGTTGAACACCTGAGAAGTAATATATTAGGAGCATGTGTTCCTAAAAGTTTTCTATCTAGGCTTAAGCAGAAACTGGAATATGGATAATGGTTTAATTTCCTGGTATTTTCAAGAAGGGTCAGAAAGAAGACCCTAGCAATTACAGGCCTGTCAGTCTCACGTCAGTGCCTGGTAAAATCGTGGAGAAGATGGTTCTCGAACTTATTGAGGTGCACCTGGGGGACAAAGCAGTCATTGGTCCCAGCCAGCATGGGTTTGTGAAGGGTAGGTCCTGCCTAACTAACCTGATTTCCTTTTATGATAAGATCACCCGTATGGTGGACCAAGGGAAACCAGCTGATGTGATTTTTTTGGACTTCAGCAAGGCTTTTGACACGGTTTCCCATAGGATCCTACTGGACAAAATGTCCACCATACAGCTAAATAAAAACATCATACGATGGGTGAGCAATTGGCTAACGGGCAGGGCCCAAAGGGTTATGGTAAATGGGGCTGCGTCAGGCTGGCGGGCGGTCACCAGTGGGGTCCCTCAAGGCTCCATTTTAGGGCCGGTACTTTTCAATATTTTTATAAACGATCTGGATGTAGGAATAGAAGGCATTTTGAGCAAGTTTGCTGATGACACCAAACTTGGAGGAGTTGTGGACTCGAATGAGGGTGGAAAGGCCTTGCAGAGGGATCTGGATAGGTTGGAGAGCTGGGCGATCACCAACCGCATGAAGTTCAATAAGAGCAAGTGCCAGGTCCTGCACCTGGGACGGGGAAACCCTGGCTGCATGTACAGACTGGGCGATGAGACGCTGGAGAGCAGCCTAGAAGAGAGGGATCTGGGGGTCGTGGTAGACAACGAGTTGAATATGACCCGGCAGTGTGCCCTGGCAGCCAGGAGGGCCAACCGTGTCCTGGGGTGCATCAAGCACGGCATCGCTAGTAGGTCGAGGGAGGTGATTGTCCCGCTCTACTCTGCACTGGTGCGGCCTCACCTCGAGTACTGTGTGCAGTTCTGGGCACCACAGTATAAAAAGGACATGAAACTGATGGAGAGTGTCCAGAGGAGGGCTACGAAGATGGTGAAAGGCCTGGAGGGGAAGACGTACGAGGAACGGCTGAGGTCACTGGGCCTGTTCAGCCTGGAGAAGAGGAGGCTGAGGGGAGACCTCATCGCAGTCTACAACTTCCTCGTAAGGGGGTGTCGAGAGGCAGGAGACCTTTTCTCCATTAACACCAGCGACAGGACCCGTGGGAACGGGGTTAAGCTGAGGCAGGGGAAGTTTAGGCTTGACATCAGGAGGGGGTTCTTCACAGAGAGAGTGGTTGCACACTGGAACAGGCTCCCCAGGGAAGTGGTCACTGCACCGAGCCTGACTGAATTTAAGAAGAGATTGGACTGTGCACTTAGTCACATGGTCTGAACTTTTGGGTAGACCTGTGCGGTGTCAAGAGTTGGACTTGATGATCCTTAAGGGTCCATTCCAACTCAGGATATTCTATGATTCTGTGATTCTATTTTAACATTAGTGAAACACCCTCACTTAATACTCACTTTGCAAAACCCTAATGTCAGATTGTTAACAGGCTCTCTCTCATGTTTCTGTGAGCACACTTATTTGAAACACTATGCTGTGTTGTTCAATCTTTGTGTTAGCATAATGTAAGTGTCAGAGAAGCAATGGTCTGTTTTTCCTGAAAAACAGACATTGGACATTCTGAATTTTGTCTGATGGACTTCTACTGTTGTAAAGGCGTGATTCAGATAGGATTTTCTAAGTGTAGCCCATTTTCAGGGTAAATTGTCAAAACCAAATGCTTACAGTTTCAGTGGAAGAGTTCCTTCCCCTCCCTTTCATATGAATGCTCACCTGTATAATTCAGACATCTAAAATCCAATTTCTCATAAACTATTACTTTAAGCACAATCTGCGTTTTTAATTTACTAGATTTTTGGCCATTTATCCTTGCTGTTCAAACCAAAAAATCTAGTCAGAAAAATCTAGTCTTTACAGATCAAAGTAAATCAGATCTAGACTCCACAACTGTGGCACAGGCTACTGATTATTCAAATAACAACATTTTTCATGTACCTACCTTTCTACTCATGAAAATATAGATGACTGGATTATAAGCAGTGCTTGACTTGGCAAAGAAAGATGGGATGATAGCTACTGTTGGAGTTACAAGGTTGCCATAGCCATATGTTACTAGAAGGGAGACCACTGCATAGGGCATCCAACAAATAAGGAAGGTAGAGATCATTAAGAAACACATCTTAGCCACCTTCTTTTCGTATTTTAGAAGTCTGATCACTTGAACAGTCTGAAAATCTTCCACACTGCGAAGCTATAGAAGAAAAAGGAAAAGTAAGAGCACTGAATACTTCTTCTTTAATTTACAAATAACTAATTCACTAACAGTTTTAGGTACAAATGTTATACACTCATTTTTATCAACTACGGTTCTTCTGCAAGCTTGCATCGTGCTTCCCAGACTTATTGTATACATTAAATAATGTAAAAACTTTAGATAACTAACTTGCCTTCACCCATTAACATAAGCAAGTTCAGATTACATTTAGCAGCCCTTAGTCTGAAAACTTAGACAATCCTGTAAGTTTGTTTCTTCCCTCTGAAGATAGTTGATAACAATTTGATAAACAGATTTCTCTAAACTGTTCTGCCACTGAGCTTGTTACCCTGAAGTTATAAAATTTCTACTTTAATCAGAATAGTAGTCAGCAGGTTCCCAATGTCATTTGTGTGAATCTGATAAAATGCAGAAATGATGGGACACATATGTGAACATCCTCAGCAATAGCTGTCAGTTGTGCTGATACTGTTGATCACAAACTTGAGTGGGTCTGTTAGACTGATTATCCACAGAATATTAAACATTATCAATTCCTGACCCTGAAGATACAGACTGAACATGGTTGCCTGAACATGGAAACTGGTTTAACAGAGCTTAGTCTCCTCTTGGAAGAGTTTTACAGGGTTATCCTCTCAAGAGCAATGAAGAGGAGAGAGAGATTTATTTAATAATAAGAACTGAGACCAAAGATTTTTCCCCTCTGTTTTAAGGAAGGATCTACTGTCAATCAGTGGGCAGGAACAGTTCCCTAATCTGCCTTTTATTTCTAACTCACCTGTAACTCACAAACTACTCAACATATAAGTCTTGGTAGCTCTAGGCTGGTTGTCTTTCAACCATACACCCTTTCTAGTGGTCCCTGACATGGCTGAACATTAAGGTCCTGAAGTTTGAACAGGAAGTGAGAGTGCAGATTCAGGCTCTGATCCAAGTTTAAGAAATGCTGGTACAATACATAACTGAAAATATTTGATTAAAAGGAGCCTTATTTCCATCAACTTACCATTCTTACTGCATATAGAATATGTCCATAGCAATAGGCCATGATCACAACAGGTACAACCAGACAGCCAAGAAAAAAAAAGAGCACAAAGGAGGTGTCATTGGGGTCTTTTGACTTCCAGTCCACCGAGCAACCTAATCCATGAATTTCCAATGTGTATCTGTTCCAGCCCAAAAGAGGTGCTCCGGTCCAGGCCAATGAATAGAGCCAGATGTATGTGATAGCCCGCCAGGACCAGGAGAAGTCAATCACTTTTGCATGGACCACTCGAATGTAGCGTTCATAGGCGAGAACAGTGAGAGTCATAATTGAAACAATTCCTGTAAGAAAAGTAAAGAAAATCAATTAAATCATTCACAAACATTGTAAAATGAACCCAAGTCCTCTTGATAACTTGGTGGCAAAGGAAACATTTAATTCAAGAATAGTTAGTTCATATTACGAGTCTAACACTAATAAGCTTTTTAGGTGACACCTCAGTAATCGTTATCTACTAACTCAAACAGTACTCTAATTTCAGAGCTACTCAGAGTAGGGTATTACAATCTGCCCCATGGTGTATGGTGGACAGAAAGTAGGACAAATAAAAAGGATGACTGAACTAATACTTTTTCCTAAATGTTAGTTCATTAAGTGACGGATCATGCTCCAAGGTTTTTTGTTCAGTTTTGGTGATTTTTTTCCTTCCTTTCTTTTAAGAAAAAGCTGCCATATAAAAATGTGATAACAAACAATAACACTGTTATGAATCGAGACAATTCAGAGCTGACACTGACATCAGGGAAAGCCTTCAAGAACTGGGAACACTGAAATACACTTAACATTAATAAAATGACTAGCAGAATTACAACGACTATCAAGATATCAAGATTTCATGCAAGTCTTTCTATTAGAGAAAAAAAAAAAAAAAAAAAAACACAGATAAAGAAAAGCATTACGTAGTTGAAGGAGTCCTCTCTGGAAGAGATCTGTTTGAGTTTCCTGTCTTGCAGGTATCATAGAAAAAATACCATAGTCCTCATTTCAATTATTTCTGCATTCTCTGTCCACCTCAACCACACTACACACTTAATGTATCAAGACAGAAACGCTGTTATTTTCAGCTCTCAGCATTATTCTATCCAGACACTTTAATGAAGTCAAGGAAATTCTGTCCTGAGTAGGACATAAGGATATCAGTTTCAATGGTCTATGAAATTTAATGATAAAGAGCAAATCTGCCCATCATGCATATACCAGTCAACTGAAATCTCTGTTAAGATTCAAACATCAAGCTCATATACTTTTAAACAACACAGCCTGAACACAAAAGGGTTTTGCAGCACTCTGTGTACGAATACTTGTGTCTGTATACTTTTTATCTAATAAGCAGGATGGGTATTTATCACACATTCCCATAGCGTTTCATTTTTTCAAGTACATTCATATTAATCACAACATTCATTTATACAGGTGGGAGAAGGTTAAATGTGCAGATCTTGCTGCTAGAAAGAAAATAACCATTTTAGCAGTCAGAAACCTTCAAAGGATATCACAAACATCTCAACTCACTTAAAAAAAAAGAATAAACATTAAGGAATACAAATCAACAATTTGAGCACCAGCCACATGAATTTTAGGAAGACTACTAAAAATAACAAAATCTAGGGAAACATTTAACCTCTGTGTCAATATGTTAATCCACAAAATCAGCATACTACTACTAACCAAGTATCTCACAGAAGGTTATGCTTTAAGAGATCTGTAAGAAAGCTGATTTGTCCTGCAAGTATCAGAGGATTTTTAATTTATTTATAAGTTCATGAGTTCAGAAATCTTTCTTGATTAACAGGAAACCGACATGTTTTTGTCATTTAATTATACGTCTTCTCCATTCTGCATCAACGTGTATCCAAAGCATGTCTGACAATTTCAGCAACATCTTTGAGAAAGAAGCATTGATTAGCGCAAGTAATTCTAGAGTAGCCTCATGGATAAACCATTAAAATGGGATATGAACCAGGTTTCAGATCTGTGAATAATTTGGAGTAAAGACTGGAAACCCTGTATGTTATTTCAGTTTCTCACCTATTGGGAATTCCAGCTATATGGGTATGCACTTTGTGGCAACAAATTCCATTATGAGGCTGCAAAGCTGTAAAAGCAGAAAAATGCCCAAGGGCCTTATACAGCTCTAAGTACCAAGGGCTAGGATATGCTTGCCACCTCCACACTTAGCGACGCAAACATAATACAGTGGCAGAAACCTTCAAAACATCTATTCAAGCCTGACCTGCCGTGGTCCATGTGCAATGTGCACTTTGACAGTGTGCAGATTTTTCCACATACTAATACTGCTTTTGAGTTACAACCAAATTTCTACATAACAAAAAAAATCTTCATTGCGTTACCTACAGCTTACTTAGGTAATTGCCTGCACCTCTGCTGCAGTTATCCTGCAGGTGGGAAACTTCTCAAATGAGCAAATTATAGTTAAATTGAAGCAGGGAAGGGAGAATTTATACATTTCAGTAGGTGAAATTTAATTCAATTGGAGATTTTAGCTTTGATGTTAAGGGATGGCTTCAAGCAGCAGTTGTGATATATTCAGCAACCTACACAATACTTCTGGAATTTTGCAGTTATAATTAAAAAATGAAGGAGATGTACATCCTTTTGAGCTTACTTTAAGTTTGCTACTTTTTTTTCCTGTTGTAATGTAGGATTCAATTAAATATATTCTATGTTCCTATTAATGCCACTAGCAAGATTAGAAAAAAATGACATCTAAGACAGCTAAAGAATAATGGTTTTATGCGTATATATATACACACACACTCACACAGGCACAGTGTTAATGAAGTAAACGAGAGCTTTTCCACAAGAACTATCTAGTTACACAGTTCAATGGGCTCAATAAAAAAAAATAAAAATAAAAATTTCATTTTGAGAGCATCCCCAAATGGATTTAAGAGTTCATTTTCTTTAAGTTTTCATACCTGCTTCTAATAAACTCCTATCCCTGACAGATTTATTTGCAGAAGTCTTGCAGTCAGTCTGTAATCAAACAACTTTTCATCTTTAGAGAAAACAGTTTGGGAATCAATAATAACTACCAAATAAGCTTGCCACATACACACATATCTGTTTGTCCTTGAAGCCAAAGCCGTTATATGAAAACAACTTCTATAAAAGCTAATCCTCTAGATTTTATGGGTTTTTGTTCTGTAAGATTACTAGCTGGTGATTTTAGATAAAAAGCTAAAACTAGAAACAGATATATAAAACTTTACCCTTGCATTCATATTTTGTTATATGTAGTGTTTATTTCATTTTTATACATCCAGGTTTTTCCCAACAAATGTCAAATAAGCTCTAGAGAGGCCAAATGAAGTTTATTATGGTTGATTGCAAACAGTTCATGAGTGAATCCTGCATCCTTCACTCAAGCAAAATTAATAATAAACATTAATAGGGCCTCTGTACCTAAGAACTTTATCCATTCTCCTCTTTAGATCTTAACTCAAATCTTTCAGAATTATTTCTTTCTGAATCTTTTTCTATATTAGGCTCCACTTCACTGTCTCTTAATGGCCTTTCTAATGTGAATGATTTCTTCTTTTAAAACATTGATATACTAGAACATTTATTTTACATCCTAAGAGATCATTCTTTATGGTTTGTTCACAGCTCTGTGTCTTTGCCCAGCATTAACACTATACCCTCACGTCAGGAAGGATGGAGGGAGTGGGTGGCAGGTCAAAGTTAAAGGACTTAAATGTGGGATTGTATACAAAGCAATAAAAAGCATCAGTTATTTGCAATTCAGAGAAGACTGTTAAATTCATCCTGATAATAAATATATGTTAAATATGACGCTGAACTGGTTGAATCATCTATTAAAAGTCCATTTAATGGATCTGATTGGATATCTATGCTGGGCGTTAAAGATTCTCTGCTTCTCCTGTGGTCATTAAGCCTTCTTGGCATAACCTATAGTTTCAGGCAATTAGGAGTAACACATACCTGTAGCCACCTTAATTTTCAAACAATACGCAGGACACCATAAAAATCATAATATAGTTTGGATGACAGATTCATTTCTAAATTTGAGGAAATATGGCCTTAATTTCTGTACCTTTCTACTCATTAAACTTTCAGGCAAATTTGAGCTGTAGTATCTCATTAATTTCTCTACTATAATTTATTTTCTTACATATCCCTGGAAGTCTTTAAAAGACGTTTAGATGTAGAGCTTAGGGATATGGTTTAGTGGGGACTGTTAGCGTTAGGTCAGAGGTTGGACTCGATGATCTTGAGGTCTCTTCCAACCTAGAAATTCTGTGATATTCAGATCTAAAATTGAAAGGCAACTTAAAATTATGTTCTACTGTAAATAAATAAATAAATCCAGAATGCTAATCTCATCTAATTCAGATTAAAATAGGAGTAAAATCAAGGTTTAAACTTGTATTACCAGCCGCAGTTCCCCTCTACTCACAAGCAAATGGTTGAAAACAACTTTTCTAATGTGAGTGAAAAAACAACCTTGTTCTGGATCTCATAGCAAAACACAGGGGTTTTGTTTTGTGTCCTGTCTTTGCACCCCTGTCCCCCCTCGTCCCAGTCCCATTCCCCCACCCCCTCAGCATTGATTAACTCTTAATATTGATTTCTCTTTGTTGAAATTAGCTTTGATGTCGATTTTCAGAAAGATTCCAGGAGCTGAACACAAAAGAGCAGGTAGAGGGTAAATGTCCTTTAACTACCCATATGCTGAACCACAGGGACTGGCAAGCACGTACCTGGTGATACTGGAAACAATCTTTAGTAATGAAGGTATCATAAGCAATTTATGAGACTATGTTCTGTGAGGTTGAGGCTTCCTGGGCCTTGGGGGGAAGGTAGCAGTGCTGTTTTCAATATTATCTTGTGAATGGCTGCATGCATCTGGTATTTGGATTTACATTGGCTAGTGAAACTCTGTGCAGATCCTCTTTCATACATGATGTGGATCATTTCTTTGAAAGGCTGGATTCAGGGAATTTCACATGTCAAATAAATAGAATATTCTTCAGATATATAATGTGTCTCTCCAGATGCCTCAATGCCCCCTTAGTGCTGAGCTAGCAATTTGAGTGGAACAATACTCAAGTAGAACAGCAGGAGCTGTCAGCTGACTCCTAAAATTTTCAGCTGATAATGCAGGAAAGAAAGAAACTCTACACAGTGTTACCTAGAATAGGCACATACAGGAAAAAAATAATCTCATGCAAGTAGAACATTTCTCATTTTCTCAAAGAGTCTCTGAAACCTGTTTTCAGAGATACCCCTTTCATGT